TCTTCAAAATTTTTACTTTGCATCCTGATTCAGGCTGGGAAAAGTTTTCAAAATCTCAATAATTCTCATTTCAGAGTAGCAGCCGTGTTAGTCTGTATTCGCAAAAAGAAAAGGAGTACTTGTGGCGCCTTAGAGACTAACAAATTTATTTGACCATAAGCTTTCATGAGCATCCAATGAATTGAGCTGTAGCTCACGAAAGCTCATGCTCAAATAAATTGGTTAGTCTCTAAGGCGCCACAAGTACTCCTGTTCTTTTTGCAAATAATTCTCATGGGACACTCATTCTACCATACTGTTGGCATAATTTTCTTTCCAAGTCTAATTTTGGTAAGAGCAATAAAAAACAAACGCTTCTAGGAGTTCAATCTGAGTCAAGTATCTAGTACATTCTAATTACATATATTTTCTTCAATGTCAACATAAAAATGGCTTTCTTAGTTCTAGTTATAATAACTTTCATGTGTCACCTGCAGTGAACTGGATATAAGTCCCTATGTATTTAAATCTACAGTTTTTATTTCAAGCAAAGAAACTGGTCTAGTTGAAAACCTGCAATCCCTAATCACTCAAGATAATGAGTGTTTTGATGTACTAATAACTGCAGGATTTCAGTAGAAATGCCCTTCTATACAACTCTCATTCAAAGGTCTCAAAGCAGTATGCAAGCATTAAAAGTTAAACTAACCCTTTGAATTAGGTGGAGGAAACATTCCCTGCTAAAATGCATTTGTTTTTGTTTTACAGTGCACAACATAGCCCGGCAGCTTAGAGCAGGAAGTGAGCTACACTGTATTCAGTGGAAACTGTAGATGATGTTTAGGAAGATAACAATAGTGGTGTATCTGAAATTTTTTTCCAGCATGCCAGGTCTAACACCCTTTTTCTTAGGAAAGAGTTATGATATCTTGATAAATGCTTGGTTTTACATCTCATCCAAAAGGCAACACAGTGCCATGCAGATGCGCACATTGGCTCAGCATCAGTAATCACTAGGATGGAAGAGAGTAACCTACTGAATGACCATTGCCCCATTCTACAACACCTACAGTAGGTGTTCCTTAAAGATTTTTCATCCAAACATTGCATCAGCTCAGCTCTTCTTTGTCAGATCTGATGGGAGCACAGCACAGCATTGGTATGAATAAAGGCTAAAACTCTTACTTTAAGGATATCTTTTGGTTTAAAATTGAACTATAAGTACCCTATTTCTCCATCTTGCTATGTTAACACGCAGAGGTTAATCATTTCCATGAGAGTTCAAAGAGTGTGCTTTCATCTCATCCTTCCCCCCCTCGTGGTTAGGGCACTCACCCAGAAGAAGAGAGATCTGGGTTCAAGTCCCTGCTCCAGAGCAGGGATTCAAACTTGCATGTCCTACATCTCAAGTAAGTGTCCTAACCTTTAGGCTATCTGTTATAAGAGGAGGGGGAAACTGCACTACAACTATCTTGTCCTCTGTTTTTCTGAACCTAGCCCTTTATTTTCTTTGCTTTTATTATTCTTAAAGGGGGTTAAATATTCAGAAACTAAATGTTCTGTTCAATGCAAAACATCGTTTTTGTTGACTTTCCCAATTCACCAAAAATTCCTAAACATTTTAGTTTCAACTCAGGTTGAATCTGTGTGTGTGTGCATGTGTGTGCTTGTGACTGCCAATGAACTGAAATATCAATTATTCATCTACCTCTACACAGTACAAATAAAAGGTGGCTATTGCTTCCTTAATGTAAGCATAGTTGCGTCTCTGTACATCCATGTCCATTCATCTTCTGTCGTGGCCTCTGCTTGTCTCAACCCTCGCACTTTCAATCTTTTCATAAATTCATAAAGAGCAAGACCAGAGGAAAACGGGAAGGAGATAATATATAATATGTAGTGCCACCCTCACTGAGATTTAATGTTATTGGAAACCAAACCAAAACACTATATACATGTTTGATCTTTTAATAGTTATTATAAAAGATTTTTTTTAAAGTTCTTTTAGAAGTTGAAAAGCCTCAAGTACAATGAGTGTGGCCATCAGTGTGTAGATAGATTTTGCTTCAAATATGGGGACCAAGTTTGCATCCCATACACAGAAAAAACTTTGACTGACCTCTGGGACTTTTGCCTGAATATGGAGTGCTGCTTTTGGACCTATTTCCCTCAAATATAGATTTGGGAGATGGAAGCAAGGGGGAGACCGATAACAATATGTTCATGGAAACCTGGTGTGAATTGCTGTTTTCCAAATTGCTGGATATTTTCTCCCTTACATGTAATGTGACTAGGTATTTCAATGTTACCTTGTCTGCCATTCCATCTTACTGTGACAAATGTTTACTGTATTGAACACCACCTCTGGAAAGGTGAGAACCTGAGAACCCATCACCCCAGCTTTTGTTTTTTTTGTTTTTTTGTTTTTTTAATAAAGGTTAAGACTAATAAATCCCAATGCATTGTCAAAGCTAGTCTGGTTTAAACAGATAGGCAGATAATAAAGAAACAGCAAGAAGCTACTACAGAGGCAAGACAAAGCAGCTTATACTTCACTTTTGACCATCAAGTCAGATGACCGAGCAGCAAACTTTGACACATCAAGAAGGCAAGCTACTATGTCAAACGGCATCTTGTGTTTCCCAGATTAGACTTCTCAATCAAAATTAGAAGAGGATTTATTTTTATCTCCCTAATTAAGCTGTTCTATCCTTTGTATTGTTTGAGTCCATGTTGATGACTAACTGAGGAGAAATGCCTTGAGGACTGTTTCCCAAATATAATTAAATGAGGACATAATGTTTTGCAATGGAAGAGATTATACATTTGCTGAATTTAAAACAGGCAAAACAGGGGAAAAAAGAATTAAACACACTCGGAATTGAGCTATGTACTGAGATATATTGAATTAGATGTTTTGGAGACTTAAATCCAAGCATTTTCTTCTACTTTTCATTCTGAGATCTCATGTTTAATATTGTACAGTGATTGTCTAAAAAAAATCCATTTTTTGTGCTGTTGTTGTGAGATGAGACAAGTTAGGCTTTCTAATCCAACTAAGCACATGCACGAAACCCCAGCTCTGTTGTAACTAATTAGGAGGCAGGTGTTCTGTTATACCTAGATTCAGAACATCCAAACTCACTTAGACTATAATCAGTGCATACTGATTAAGTCAGTCAGTCCACAATGCTGATATTTAGAGCTTCAGCAAGGTTTTGTACAGGGGATCTTCATTTCTGAACTTGAAGTGTAACAACACATTGCAGAGTCCTCTGAAGCAGATTCAATAGAACCATCCTAGGGCCAAATTCTGCTCTAGTTGTCCTAGTTACTTCAGTGGGAGACCTATGTACCCATGGTTGGAAATGGATCTTTAATCTGAAATGAAAATCTTATGCTAAAGCCGACAGACATTTTCTTCATTCAGGATTGCCATTGAGGTTAACAGTAACCTTCCCATTAACTTCAATAAAAGAAGGGTCTTCTTTATTCTTTAGATAGTAAATGCAGGGCCAGATTCCAACTCTCAGGTGATTTGTCACACTATTTCAGTTTCCTTAGTCAGTTCCTAATATCCAATTTTAGTTTAAAGAATGTGTATCCAAAGATCATGCACTGACTTCATTTAGTCTTCATAAATATAATGAATATCTCCGTTCCTTGGAGTTACGTTTTGAGTAACCTGAAGTTGCAAGCATTATTTTTAGTCTTCCACATCATGCTGTGCACTTCACACACAAGATATACATTGTAAGTTAACATATGTTTGCCTATACAGCTGGACCTGTGTGCTCTTAACTGAGTTGTCCGTATATAATCCACGTGCGATTGCAGTAAATGGGTCTCCAAGTATTCTCTGTAATCAAAAATTTTAAAATATACTTTAACATAGAGAACCAAGGATTTTCCATGGAGCTTGGATTCTATTACTAATGAAGATGAAGGACTGTACAAGGGTAAAATCATTATTAGTTGGATTATTTCATTTGTATATTTTTAAAATATATACCGAGAGAATTTGTCTAACTTGTATTTCTTTATTAATGTTTACTATATATCAGGATAAAGTTTAGAATATCTTATTCCATATATAATATATCCACTAATCAGCCTGTCAGGATTTTGGTCATGAGTCCCTGATAAAAGGGCTTGCTCATGCTTTCATTTGTAGCCAGCAGAAGTTTGGTTTTGGCTTTAATTAGAATAAGTGCAGGCCCAGTTGGCTTGTAAAATCTAGTCAGGCATAAATTAGCTAATACAATAAAAGTACCCAAAATAATAATACAAAAGGGCTGAAGACTTTTCCTGGTAGCTGGCTGGCCAAGAAAACAACCCACATTTCTGGCTGTACTGTCTCAGTGGGAGGCAAATCACACCATGAACATTTGTCCTTTCTTTCTCTTCATCTCAAGAAAGAAGTGGGAATATAGGCTGCTATTGACTTAAAGGCTTCATTTTAGTTTCAAATAACCTTTTTGATACAGTCCTCAATCACCAAAAAGACTGCATGGGTCTTTTCATGCAAGGAAGTGAGAACTCATAACTTCCATTTAAGTCAGGGACTGGGGCTTTTGAATGGAGGAAAAAGCTTTTACAACATCTAAACCATTTGTGAATGACACTATCACAGACACCATTTTGGAATCTTTTCGGGGGGGGGGGATTTAGATAGCTGCTTTAGATGCTCTAAAAGCTACTGTTTTCTTTTATATTGGGTAATATTATAACATTAATAGAATGTGAGACTCTGTCTCTAATAATGGTTGTAATCTCTTTAGAATGAAATCTCCCTGCTATGCCTCAGCATTCCTCTCTCAAGTATTGTTGGAGCACAAATTCTCATGTCATTGATGTTGTTCTTGTGGTTTATTATCCTCTTGAAATAAAAAATGAAAATATTGGGGAAAAAAGTCAACTAAAGGTAGCAGGCCCTCATTTCTGAGAGGCTGAATTAAGGTTTTCAAAGAATGGATTTCTGCTAGGAAATAATGCTGGTTTTATTTTTTCTTTATATTCAGATGGAAGATGTCATAGCACGGATGCAGGATGAGAAAAATGGGATTTCTATTCGTACAGTCAAAAGTTTTCTTTCCAAGATTCCCAGTGTCTTTTCTGGTAAGCTTCAAAGTGAATTTCATACAGTTCAAAGCACCGGTGGTGCAACAGGGTTCTTGGACTCCAGTCATGTACTTAACCTGAGTATTCTAAGAAATCCACATAGTCATCTGATCTGGGAAAGAATTGACTATATTATGAATCCACTGAAAACTGGACTTCTTGGGAAAAGGGTGTGTTTCTGCTATGCATTGCAAGGAATTCACTCAAAGGCTTTTCTAGATAGTCTGGTAAATTAAGCAATGGCAATACTAGATTTACTGCAGGAAAAGGCAATTATAGGTAGGTGGCAATATTTTTAATGCACCACATTTTCATTTCAAACTAATTTGTAAGTCTGTTTTTAGGCTACAGGTGCACTGAGTTTGATTCTCTATGTAGTCCAGTATCTTAACATAAGAACTGGCATATCAGCAGCATCAAAGGAAGGTGAACCTTCCATCCCACAATGCCATGTGTGTGTTGTAGTACCATACATGAAAATTATTTACTGACTCCCAGAGAAAATCAACTTATGATCAGAAGCATGAGGGTTGCTGTCCCTTGTTTCAGTCTAGTGGTACAACTGCAAATGTATCTGTCTTATTTGTTAATATATGTAGTCAATATCATTATTTTCATTTTTTAAAATATATTAACTACTTGTACCTTGTGGATATTTATCACTAAATTACTGACACCAATTTGCATTTATCAGTTTCTGCCCAACAGAGGTGAATTCTGGAAAAAACAAAGATGTTGAGGCTAGGACTGAGCTGTACCATGAAAGCTTTCACAGCATCTGCTCCCTTCGTAGATGGTCCTAATGAATGTTGTTAGCGTCTCTCTTTCATAAGTGCAAAAATCCACTCCATTTTTTTTAAAACAACTAGCAAAATCCTTTTCATTTTCTTTGTTTCCATTCATGCTATCAAATGACTGTAGAATTCCTTTAAAGTAGATCTTGGTTCAAACCTATACTTCAGATACACTGTAAAATGGCTAATAACTGCATAGGTTCTGTAGTGGAGAAGGTGCACCCATCACATAAAATATTTGCAGAAATTTGCATCATGTAGAGCAGCACAAAATGTTCTATATACCTTAATATTTAACTTCTGGGATGTCTTTTGAACAGTGAAAAGGAGGAGTGCAGCCAAAGATATTTCCTAAGAATGGATAAAAACCATTCAGGGTTTAAAAGAGAAAAAATAGCATACAAATAATGGCCTCTGAGAAGTGGACCTTTTTCTCCCATAAGCATGTAGAGTGTGGGGTTCCCAAGAATGGATTCATCTTAATTACCTTCTCTGTCTTTCTTTGACTGTTGTAGGTCCAGACTTATGTCTACAGTTTACTTATAGGAGACATTATTTCCAAAAGTTTTTTTTTTTTACTTGTAAAGAAATGGTCAATCATACTAGTGAAAGTTATATTAAAATAAGGTACCTTTTCGTCAATAGCACAGGTTCCAGTGGAAATAACAGCAACTCCTATGAAGGAGGTTTGTTCATTACACAAGTTCATCTTAATTTTTTGTCTTAAAACTATAAGAATCAGAGTTTATTGTTCCTCCTCCAAATCCTCTCTATCCCATATTATTCCAGTAACTTTCAGTACCCAATATTAACCTCCATCCCAAACATATTATATTTTTCCCGCTGTTCAAAGTATCCTCATTTCTGTGGATGCAAATGACTGAACACATGAAAATATAATTAAGTTGGTAACCCACCCTCCACTGTTCCTCAGACATTCTTGTCAACTGCTGGAAATGGCCCACCTTGATTATCACTACAAAAGGCCCCCCTCCCTCCCCCACTCTCCTGCTGGTAATAGCTCATCTTAAGTGATCACTCTCCTTACAGTGTGTATGGTAATTCCCATTGTTTCATGTTCTCTAAGTATATAAATCTCATGTTCTCTAAGTGTATTTTCCACTGAATTCATCCGATGAAGTGAGCTGTAGCTCACTAAAGCTTATGCTCAAATAAATTTGTTAGTCTCTAAGGTGCCACAAGTACTCCTTTTCTTCTTAAAAGTAAAGTTTCATGTATAGTACTCCCCTCTACTGGATGGCATCAGGACTGCTTGAGTTTGTGCTAGGCCCTTTCCTGCTGATAGTAATTCTTAAGTGAATGGGTTAAGAGTTCATGTTTATGGAGCAGGAGTATCTCAGCTCTGCCATAATGATCTACCAGTTATGAAGCTCTAGGTGGCCACAGATTTCTTAAAGTATAATGTTGTACTGGCTATGTTGACTGCTACTCCCAACAAAAGTATCCATTTATTAATTCAGCATTAAAGTGGAGAAAATTCATTAATTTCAAAAAATGTGGAAATTAATGGGTTGCTTTATAGCTAAACCTGAATGTGGAGTTGTCTATCTGGAAATGGTCTGGCCAATGGGAAGATGTTAAAATGATGAGCGTATAGGTGTCATTTGAGATGCGGCTGGCTGCAAGACAATATTTGGACTTACTGAGGGCTGTGAAGTTATTGGACAAGATCATGAAGTACTGTCATTGTGTTCTGGTATCATTAACAGATCACAGAGCCAGTTCTAGGGTATTCATTTAATGAACAAACCTTGACAAATGTAATCTTGTCCCAGGCCCACAATCTCTCAGACAAAAAATGGCCAGAGAACATTTGGCTGCTGCAGGCAATCATCTATCCTACATGTTATAATAGATCTGTCCCCCTTGAAGGAATCCCACAGTTTGATACAAAACAGTGAATGAATGTAAAATATTTTCAAGCCAGGATTCTTCACTCAGAGTTGTGTTGGAGTTCTAGAGCCGTTTTGCACAGGTATTGCATAACTTTGCAACGCGCAAGCTGTGGAGAATTGTGCCCAGAGTCTTCTCTTACACAATCCATTAAAACTAAGAACCATCATATTTTAATAGGCAAATATTTATTTAATAAATATGTTTTTACTTTGGGAGTGGGCAGGGTATTTAAATATTTCATATACTTAATGGAATAAATTCAGATTTCACAGTAAAATTGACATACAATATGATGGGTTCTCTTTCTAGTTGTCCTATTTACAATTGGACAGCAAGTGGCAGAGTTAATGGTACCATGGGGACCTTCATTCTGAATGTGTGGGTTAAAGTAAAAAAGTTCCATTTATACCAAACAGTATACTTGCTCTGAATGTCCCTGTATAAGAAGTTTGACTTTATGTGAAATGAAGAATTATCCTAAAATGATTTTTATGTTATTGTCATAATTGAATAAGACAACTTATCATTCATTTGACATTTTAAAGTACGGTGTGTGGCTGTTTAGTTCACAAAAGGAAAGATGATTGAAAACTATATTTTGACATGCACAGAATGAAAAAATTAGGATTTAGCCATAAAATCCTGATTACCATTTTGGATTTTCTAAAATCCATGCATCAGGTTTTCACAGCAACACTTGCCCACATTCTCACATTACATAGGTGTTTGCAAAGCAACATCCTAAGAAGCTTGCAAATCTCTCAAACTGGTCAGTGACACGTCGCTAAAAGAAGAAATTGAAAATTGTCACTACAAAGAAGATTTCACTGCTTTTCTTGGAGTCTTTAAATAATCTTGTAAATTTCAGTATGAATTGAAGCTGTAAAAATAGAAGACAAATTCTGGAATACAGTCCAGAATGATGGTCACAATGTAATGGAGGAAGGTTTTTCAACTGACTAATAAAGACAGGCTAGAGCTGTTGGTCTACCACAGTTAGGCCCCGATAGTGCAAGCACTTACACCCATGCTTAACTTTATCCATAAGAGCATTCCCATTGAAGCCAATTAAACTACTCACTTACGTAAAGTTAAGCAAGTGCAATCTTGTTTGCAGGATTAAGTCCTTAAGTGACAACACTACAGTTATGCCATCAAAATGCAAGAGTGAGTTTTTCATTTTCATTTACTTGTATTGCATATTACTGATCATGACAACACCAAGTGAAATATTACTTTAAATGGCGTTCTCTTTTATTTAGAATAATGTCAAATAACTGATTATACCCACTTAACGTTTTTAAAAGCATTACAGTTTAGCAAAATTCCAAATCAAGAATTGTATCTGCATTTGATTTTTATATAGAATGTTGTGTTTGTAGCTTGTCATTTTTGTATAGGCAATCCTTTAAGATTTTTACACATACAACATCTGTGCTACTAAATATCTCTTAATGTATAATAATTACAAATGGCTGTGATAATAAAACATCAAATGCAGGATTATATCAGCATGTAAACTTTGCACAAAAGGACAATTAGCCAACATTACATTCATGTGCTCATACAGAACAAGCACATAGTGTGTGGGGGGGGAGGGGCTGACATCAAATCATTATTTAATTATGCATAAAACCATTGTCTTTGTTGCATTTTTTTTGGTCTTTTTTTTTAAGTGCAAATTTGTTATATTATCTTACAGAATCTGTTTTAAAACAGATTTTTTCAAATAATTTGAAAACAAAGAATGTGAAAATATAGACTATATATGCATTTACACTCTGTGTGTGTGTGTGTGTGTGTGTGATATTATATACTTAAGGGCCAAATACACGTGTGGTGTAACTTTATTGAGGTCGGTGGAGTTAAACCACAGCTGAATTTGGTCCATGGATTCCAAAGTATTTAATCCCATTATGTCCTAGTTTTGTGAAAAAATCTGCTCCCAGGCTAAAATCTTGCGTGCCAAGATTCAGTCCACAAATTTTTAACAGCTGATTATAAACCTCTGAAAACAGAAATATATAACAGCAATGCTGGCCCGTGTATAGGGACTCATCTGCACCTAACCTCTATTAACATTAATGGGAAGACGCACATGTGTGTTCTTCTGAATCAAGATGAAACTGTACTTCTTATTATGCAAATAACAACTACAGTTAACAATTTAATACATTATAAAATGTGTGAGAGAAAGGATCGGGCAAATTATGCATACTTGTATCCAAACACTGAAGAGGAATAAAAGCATTCTAAAAATAGCATACTTGGCAAATTCCTACTGGG